TGGAGCCCGCCCCAGCCAGAGTCTGGGGGAGACCCAGCTCCACATATTGCTGAAGCAGGGCCCCCGGCTCTGAATAGTAACTCACCAGCACTTCCGGTTTCAGGGGCACAGGGCCCCCTTAGGCACGAGGCCCGATTCGGCCGAATCAGTTGAATCTGCCTAAGGCCGGCCCTGCCTGTAGCATGCATTCAGAACATTTACCTGGAGAGTAAGCTAGGGTGCGAATTTAAAGCATACTAGAGACTCTGTATTAAATTCCTTATATAGACACACCCTTAGTAAAAGTATCTCACTAAAAAAATAGTATCATTTTAGTTCATAGATTACTCACAAAACAAATTTATTACATATTTTGAAGAGATTGTTTGTAGATTAAAATAAAGTCACACTTCTCAATTACCTACAGATACTAAATTTTGCATAAAAAATTCTGCCACTTACATGAGCTGAATGCACTACTTTTTAAACCAGAATATGCTAGGTGAAATGTTTCAATAATTATTTTTGCTTTTCATTGGAAAAAAGTCATGACTATTATGATTAGAGTTCATAAAAATATTTGCTAACAAAATTAAAGTCGAGTTGCCTGTCAACTGTCATTTTAGTGCAAAGAAAATTTTTACTGTTACAAGTCACGAAATAAGTCAAATTATTCCCAGAAAGAGTAATGGAAGTGATACGAGTTTCTGATTCAAATTTACCATGTATGGTAATTATTCAATAAAATGAACAACGTGTGAAGTTGAAATCCTACAAATTTAAAACTGTTCTTTTTCTTCTCTTTTGCAAGCACATTAATGAAAAATTCTGTTACATATCTTTAATTTATTGAATTTTCCTATAAGTGTAATCTGTGCAAAATGACTTTGCCTCGTCAACAACGGGCCTCACAAGCTAGTTTGATATAATTCTGTACTGGTAGGACACCTTACCCTCAGTCTTCCATGAAGCAAAATTATTATTCCATGGTCTTAATTCCTTTGGTGGTACTATTTATCCTTTGTGTGATAAAGCGAGAATTTATTGTAATATTTTAAAGAAGCCTATGTGTGTGTCAGTGTCTTCTATATGCTGTATTGTTGCTTAGTGGGTAAAAGGGGACAGGCTAAGACCCAGGTGAAAACTGTGCCTAGCTGTCTGGAGCCTTAGATCCCAGATCAGTGGAGCTCTTGAGAAGATAATTACAAATCCAATTTCCTAGGCTTGGACACCTAGCAACCAATGATCCAGAGAGATCTGGACATCCAGTGATGACTGCAGGGGAGAGTCACAAGAGGGCACTGGTTACATGACTGTCCCCCCACATGACTCCTCCCCATGTCACTTCTAGCCTGGGAGAATGCCCCGCTTCTTCCCACCTCAGGCCCTGCCCCCACTCCACCCTTTTCCCCACTCCACCACTTCTCCCACCCCTGCTCTGCTCCCTCTCTGGCTCCTCTCACCCCTACTCTGCTTCTGCCTTGCCCCCATTCCACTCCTTCCCAAGGCCTATCCCCAATGGTGCAGCCCAGGGACTGGAGGGGGGTTGGAGCAGGCTGCAGGGGTTGAGCTGACCCATGCACTCATTGGCTGTGGTGGGAAATAGGGCAATTTGCCCCCAGCTTGCTCTTCTCCACTCCGCTTCCCGCCGCTGATGAGCGTGTGGAGGCAGTTCCAACCCTTCCTCTTGGTTAGTATAGAAAAATGAAAGTTACAGCAGTCCATTCCGGGTTCTCTGCTTCTCAAAGCCATTGAATGTGGAGTGAGCCCGAACTCTGTAGCTGGCACCAGGCCCTCCCCCTAGTTTCCTGGGCTGAGTTGTTGGGAAAGGGAGCTTGAGGAAGGGATGGAACCGCCACCCACATTCACCAGCAGCAGGAAGCACAACACCCAGAATGGACTGTGCTGAAACCTTCATTTTTCTATGTTAAACAAAGTCTTCCTAAGCTGTGTTCCAGTCAGCTAATAAACCCCACTGTTTCACAACACTGGGGCAGCGTCACTGCAGATTCTTGAGGAACTGAATTATTTCTTTAGACTGTGCAAATTTGTCTCAGTGGGACTCTCTGAACAGTGCTCATGTTATGAACCAGGAACGCTGAAGGCCAAGAGATCCAGTTTAAAGGGGCAACAAAGCTCCATAGCTTACTGAAAAGAAAAAGTGGGATCTCTAGGGGTCTGGCACATGGATGAGGTTCTCCTAAGATGGTTCCAAAGCTGGGACTATAGCACTGATCCTGTGGATCTGTGACAGCACATACTGAGTATAAAGATAGTATGAAATCATACAGTTGTAGTTTTGTAGTCAGGGGGAATACTTTGCAGTGGGAGTTTTGCCTTAGTAAAGATTACAGGATGTGGCCTTATATTCAGTATTCTGACACAAAGAACCTTGCACATAGAACTCTGTTCCCTAAAACAAGGGCCTATGAAGTACATACTATATTTGTGTTTGGTAACTTAGGGTATGTCTACACTACCACCCTAGTTCGAACTAGGGTGGTAATATAGGCAACCAGAGTTGCAAATGAAGCCCGGGATTTGAATTTCCTGGGCTTCATTTGCATCTTGCCGGGCGCCGCCATTTTTAAATGTCCGCTAGTGCGGACTCCGTGCCGTGCGGCTACATGCGGCACGGACTAGGTAGTTCGGATTAGGCTTCCTATTCCGAACTACCGTTACTCCTCGTGAAAGTATAGGATAGGAAGCCTAATACGAACTACCTAGTCTGTGCCGCGTGTAGCCGCACGGCACGGAGTCCACACTAGCGGGCATTTAAAAATGGCGGCGCCGGGGCCGGGCTTCATTTGCAACTCCAGTTGCCTACATTACCACCCTAGTTCGAACTAGGGTGGTAGTGTAGACATACCCTTAGAGCTACTGGACTTTTGTTACTTGGCACATGTTAATGAAGTTTGTACTCTAGCCCAGAGATAATTTCCTAGGAGTTTTTCAGTGAGAGTTATAAAGAGGAATTCCTGAAACTTCACGTATATTTGTAGAGTTCTTAACGGTAACAATTGGTGTATCTTGGAAACATTTTCATCCACTGTAAGACTGAACTAACTGTTGACACAGGTGTAATTGAAGACAGAATTTGTCCATCGACTGCAAATTTGCAAGATTTCTACTTATCCATTACTTTTTATATTTGGCTTTTTTTCTCCCCACAGCCTGCCACTTTTACATGAGTAGTGTCAGAGGGTTGAATTTTAAAGATTAGCTTGTCTGTGTTTTACTTAGCCAAAATGACATTGAGCTAGGTCTGTGACCTTTGCATTTTCTTCAGTCATTTCTTAATGTTAACTTGAAACCACTTTAAATGCACCAATGGTACATATAGCTTAATACGTGTTGAGGTATCAAGTTTGTACCAGTGACTAGTGGCTATAGTTAGAAAGTGGATAACACTGGTATTGGACACCAGATAAGCAGGGTGACCAGGTCATAACAATGAAATATCAGGACACATTGGGGAACTATCAATCCTGCCCACATTCCATTCCTGTTCTGCGCAGGCTTTGCTCTCACTCCACCCTAAGTCCTAGGAGAAGCAGAGCTCCTGCTTTGCATCCCTCTTCACCCTCTGCCCACCATTGGCTTGCTGCATCCCTCCACAGTCCCCCACCCACTGCTCCCCTCTTTCCACCACCGCTATCTGCCACTCATCTCCTCACTTGTCTGTCAGCCAACCCCCGGCCTACCTTAAAAATACCCTGCTTGCTGCTGGCTTGCTTCTCGCCTCCTCATCTCCCCTTCTACCTCTGCTGACTCACTGATTGCCTCCTCACTTCCCCGCTGACTGCTCACATTTCTGCTCACCTTCTCTCTCCCCTCTGTCCCCCACTAACCTCTCCATTCCCTTGCCAGACACCTCTCTGCCTGCCACAAGAATCCCTGCCTGCTGCTGGTTCGCTGCTCACCTCCTCACCACCCTCTGCTGCTGGCTCCCTGCTCATGTCCCTGCCCTGCTGCTGGCTCCTGCTTGCCTCTTGACTCCCCTCCCCCATCCACTGCTTGCTTCACTGCTCACCTCCTTACCCCTTCAACCACTGCTTGCCTGCTCTCATCTCCCCCACTGCTGGCTTCCCGTTCATCTCCTACCTCAATTGCTGGATCCCCCCTTGCCTCCCCCCCGGCCCCCTGCTTGCCTCCGTGCTCACCTCCTCACCCCCCGCCACTGCTTACCTTGCTGTTCGCCTCCTCTCATTCCTCCTGCCACTAGCTTACCACTCACCTCCTACCCTCACTGCTGGTTCACTGCTTGCCTTCTCATCTGAATATCAGGACAAATGGTGTCCTGATCATACATTGGTCAATACCAATTTTTTGGAGAAAGAGTTAAATATTGGCACAATCCCAATTTTATCAGGACATTGGTCACCTGAGCCACAAGGAATCTGGTTGGGCTAGTCACTAATATATTTGTCTCATGTATCATTTCACCTTGAGACTCCTAAGAAGCATGAGACAAGTACACAACAAGTACTTTTTTTGTTCTGGCAGTTGTGATGGAGTAAAATGACTCCCATGTTGTGACGGTTTTGGAAAGCATCAGATAATGATTGTTTGTTTATTCTGACCTAGCTGGTAGTACCCATTTCTAATTTCAATTAGTCATTTCATGATTAAAGTTACCCATGTTTATGTGTTTATCTTGTCATTGAAAGAGTGGTGAGAAGACAGAAGAGTTGGTGAGCAAGTCTGTTCCTGTGAAAACCCATTATTCATTATTTTCTTTCCCCTCCCCTCAAAGAGCTCTAGTGGTTTCTCTAGTAACGTCAGTTCTAGCACAAAGTCACCATTTACTATCTGCTCACTGTTAACCAGCAGCATGGTCAAGTGGCTAAGAATAAATCTATAGAGCACTGGCAGTCCTGCATTACAGGATCCCAAAATGACTCACAGAAATCAATTATTTTGAGGATTTTCTTCATTGTCACTAAAATATGCACAGTACAAGTGCTGCTGAGCAACAGTAGGTCATACTGAACCCAAGGATTTTTGAAAGCAAAAGATCTCATCTTTATTGAGCTTATAACACAAAATTCCAATACAGTAGCGTATTACATCTATGATTATAACTCATTACAGACATACTCTAAACAAATTGGGCTACAAGTTCATATTAAGCAAAATGGCTACCTGTGTTAATTTCCTACTTTCAAGTAGGAATAAGAAATCCTCCGGAAAAGGCTTTATTTTCCAGAGAATAACGTCTAGACTGGCGCTTTTCTCTGGCTTTTCCCCAAGCCGGAAAAAAGTGGCAGCCATGTTAATGCAAATGCTGTGGGGAATATTTAAATCCCCCGCAGATTTGCCTATTCCAACGTGCTACATTAGCATCCCTTTTCCGGAAGGGATGCCAGTGTAGACGTAGCCTAGATGGAGAAGCACATATTTCTAACCACCATAACCAAAGTCTGTTTTTTCCTGACAGCACTTTCCTTACCAAATGACTTTGGAAACTCTCCCTCTTCCTTCCTTCCCCAGGAGCCCAATGCCTGAGTTTATAGTAGTCCAGTGCACCAAGGATCACTGGCCCAACCACTTCCAACAATAACATTTCTGTACAAAAACCAAACCTTAACCAGCTATCTTTAAGGTATATGTGGGGTATAGCTAGAGACCTCTGTTGAAACAGAGGTAAATATAGGGCAAGCAAAGTCATCAAAGAGCTGAGCTCCTCTCTGCCCATGGTCCAGGCTGGGCCAGCCTAACAATTGATGGTGCCCTATGCAGAGTGGTACTCTGCACTGACAAAAGGAAGGAAATCAGGCAGAGTTTCTTCTTGATGCCTGGAGACTGAGAAGGAACATAGTTTATAGGGAGAAGGAGATAGTGCTCTTGGATCACAGAGCATTCCCAGTGGCTTCTGGCTTTGTGTTTAAGATTGATCCTGGATCATTTTTTATATTGATAAATTGTTTGGGCCTGGTAAAATATTCTCCTTTTGGCCTTTTCCCACACACAAAAATGGAAAAGGACAATACTTTAATACTTTAAAAGTTTAAATCTTTGAGACATTGCAACGAAATACAAATGTTTAAGTGATTATACTGCTGACTTGCTATCATTGTAGTGTGATTGTTCTGAACCTTTGGAGTTCCTCTCCCAGCCCTGTCGAATTTGTGTAAGTGGTCGGTCTATACATGGGAATATCAGAACAAATTTTATAGCCAGGACAAAGCAAGGAACAATGAGAGAAAGCATATATGCAGCAGGAAGATACCATTTATACATCGAAGGGCTCAAGAATCTCTTTCCACCATAGACCAGCGTATGTGCAGTGCATAAAATCAGTGTCAGGTATCCCAGTTTGGACTATAGGGAGGGAAAAAGAGCATTGGTTAAGATTGCACAATAAACTTTACAGTAAATCCTATTTGAAACCTATATAAACTCTTGGGATATTCCCAAAATTGGGACTGAACTGAGATTGCTTAAAAGAATTTGCTTCATATTTTTAATTACAATTTTTAATTTTACTTTTCAAAATGTTTGTTTAGCAAAACTGATAATTTTTGGTAGGCCACATATATATCCATCTGCTTGTAATTTTCATGAAAACTGGAAAAATTAATCCCGAGGCCCTAACTATTTAGAGGCCAGTGACAGTTCAACAAGAGTCTTCATATCATTTTGGTTTCTTCAGTACACCAAAGCTTTCTTGACAGTAGATTCTTTCCCCCCTGTAGCTCAAAACGGATATGCTGGAGCAGCCAATGGTTGCCATGCTTCATATGAACCAGGCACAGACAGTAATTAGTGCTGCATTGTCACTAGGGTGGTACTGTTTATACCCACATGACAGCATGTGCTGTGGGTTCACCAGTTTTGCTTGTAAATGAGCTAGACCTTAGGACAGGTGACTCTCTACATCCGTAGTGTCCAACCAGTTCTGAAGTAAGGATGTTAAGAAGTGGGTAATTGGCTAATCATGCAGTCGATACAATTTGTATCAACGACACGATTAGTCAATAAGGGGAGGCGCTCTGTCCTGTTTCACAAGGAATAAGGGAGCGGTCGACAAAGGTGTTCCCTGTCAACCGATCCGCGTCTTGACTGCCGTGCTGTGCTGATGATCAGCTGAGCCGGCACAGTGCAGCGGTCATTTTTATTTTAATGAAGCGGGGGATATTTAAATCCCGGCTTCATTGACTATGTCGGGTAGTCTAATTTACATGCCTCTGTTGGTAGAGGCATGTAGTCTAGACATACCCTATGATCCCACAGGAAAGGCAGCCTCCCTGAAGGTATCCAAGGCAGGATTTAGGCAGCAGGGATGGCTGCTAATGCAGCTGGACAAGCTATAAAATATCTATTGCCTCTCTGATAACTGGTGAGGTAGGATTATCAGTAGGGATGCCTCATATCTTTGCAGGTGAGTTGAGCAGTTTCAGGACAAGGGAGCAGTATCACCAGTTGATACAGTTGAATGTCAGCTGAGTTCCATTGACAGACTTACAAGTGAATTCAAATAAAGAGGGGGAAGGGACCAAAGCTGAAATAGAGGCACAAAGGGACTGAAGAGGAGGAAGAGGAAGCAGAAAGGACAAGTGCGCATGAAAAAGGGCAACTGTAGTCCAGCAAAGGTTGGCATTTGATGGCATTATACAAAATTAAATTTTGTATAACTTTGTGTTTAAAATAGTTTTTCATCACTGAAAACTTCAGTGTGGACTAATCTTTCTGCAATTTATTGACTAAAACTATTTTGTAGCCCCAAATTCTCCATAAATGGAGCATACAACTCTCACCTGGCTGGGATGCTATAATGATGCAGGTAGTCTGTGCATACTCCCTTGCAGCCTAGTGTGACATTGCTAGATTGCCCCAAGCAGAGCAGCAGCAGAATTCAGTTTAACAGGCCAGGCAAGAAACATCAGACTTTTTTTTGGGTGGGTGGGGGGTAAATATCATGCCCTCTTTTAAAAAGGCTTCAGGCCAAGAGCCATTACCACAAACAGGCTCCTCAGGCCCTGGTTCAGGCTTTTCAAACTTAAAGTCCACACTTAAGTCTCTGAATCAGATCCATGAATGTCTTCTAGTACCTATGAAAGCAACTGTCATTCACTTCAGCCTACCTGACACCTACTTCTCCCTGTGCTTCCTGTTTATAGAACTCAGACCTGCCAGGACCTTTTTGATTATCACCAAGCTGTAGGCATCAGCCTGTCCCCTCCCTTCAAGGGACAGCACCTGCTACACTCCATTCCTTTACAGATACATAATAGCATCACTACTACTACAAATATGCAAGTCTCGATTCTTCAAACCCTGTGACCCATGCAAGCTGGATGTCCAATTACTGGGTTTGAACATGAGGTAAAAGAAGTGGTGAAATAAAAGTTAACTCTCTCACCCTCACCCATATGACACATTTTTGGTTTTCAGCCAATCACTTGTTTCAGAGGATGGAGTATATTTTGCCCAACTCCTTTTAAGAGATGCTTATGATCTCAAAAAATAAGGAATTTTTTTTAAAAATCAGCGACTGAATATTTAATTGATTTATTTGATGTAAATCATCACTCTGTTTTATACAAACATCTTCTGAAAGCAACAAACTTGTCACTGTAACTTCTCATTTATTGTTTAGTTTTCCTAATTTTACTTTATGTAGATGGATGCCACCACCACAAGCTACAAGGGAAACATAAAAGATTGACAGGAGAGTGCAGGAAATGCAGCATAGAGAAAGGACATGAAATTAGTATTTTAGTGGAAAGAAGGTATATTCCTTACCTGTACAAATCGAAATTCTCTCCAGTTGACACTGTTGCTGACTGAGGGCAAGGAAGTTATTCCCAGCAATATAAATAGAAAAAATCCCAGAATACCTAAAGCCACGTAAGAGTCACTAATCCAGCCATTAGTGTTGTAAAATGGATCTGTTCTGTTGTCCTTTACCTGAAGAAAAAAAATCATATATACTTTAATAGTGCAGTAGCTGCAGCACCCATAGACAGAAATGCTATTGCTCATTATTGAGATTTCCTTTAAAGTAAATTGTAAAGATTTGTGCAAACAGATTACAAAAGTCAGAAACAGCAGATCAGCTTGTCTCCTGAACAAAGGGAGGTGCTCTGAACTGCCAGCATGCAGGGTCTTCCATAGCATGTGCCACTTAGAGGCACTAGATACAGTGTTGCATACAGCCTAATTGTAGCATTGATATACAGTACAGTACATTTTGGTAGACTTATTGATGATTGTGGGAATATGGTTATTTAAAAAAATAAGCATGACTTTCTGAATGTCAGTGGCTGTGCTACTCTCATAGGGATTTAGAGAAATGTAGAACCCATTTCTCAAAATTATTCATAATTAATATTTTTCTGCATATGTTGTTAGCTGCTAGACTAGCTAGAGGGAAGACTGAGATAAGAAGTCCCACATTTAACCACAGCATCAGTCTCCTTTGAAAATACAGATATCTAGAGGAAACACCAATCATATAAAGAAATTCAAGAGTGTAATCTGCAAGATAGTAGCAGACAAAAGTGGGGTTGGGTGGAGCAATGAACAAAAACTTACCTGAGATATGACGTAAACATTTATTCTCCATCTTACATAATAGCGAATAGGGATAACAAGAGTGTATAAAACATGTAGAAAAGCAAAAACCAAGGCTACTAATCCAAGCTGTTTCCTACAGAGCATCCATTTGTCCAGCCAGTCTGGGAAACGACTGTATTTTGTACCTCTGTGTAACTGGAGAATTGCAGCAATTATGCCAGGAAGGTAAACCAAAGCAAGAAGGATGAGTGCCACTATGGGGCAGACTCGATTTGGAATGGTAATTGCAATAAAAAATGAGACGTCTTTGTTTTCATATACGTAGGGGTAGATTACCTCACGGATCAAACAGTAGAAGAAAAAAAATACACTTAGACCAATAGCCAAGTAGATGGGAAACTTCCACATTGGAAAGAGCTGCAGTGGGTAATTTTCTATTTCTTTGGCTGCCACGAGAGAGCCTTGATCCAATGGTGTAAGACCAAGAGTCCGAACAATATCCATCACCATTTGTTTGGCTTTGTTGTCATTTCCACAGATAAACACCTGCAACAAAAAGAATGGGATTTATTTTGACAAATCTTTGAGACACATTTCACTATTGATCTGCATGAGAATAAAATAAAACTTTAAAGTTCATTACATTTCCAATATTTCTAGAAATCATTGGCTTTCTTGCTAGTCTTTGGTGCAAGGGTGAATGACTAATAAACTCTACTACTGAGACATAGAATCAGAAATAAAATCTTTTCACTGGGAAGGTGGAAGGTTTAAAGTGAAGCAAAATATAATACACTTAACAATGGTATTTAGCTAGTACAGTTGAATTTTAGCACACACTTTGGAAGACAATTCTATCAAGCATCTTACTGGTAAAGGGTTCTTGAGGGTTGTATATAAATGAGCACAATCTTCCACTTTTGTCCTACACATATAAAACAGTGATCCACAAGGATTCCAGAACAGTGAGGATAGGTATTTCTCTTCCAGGTTGCTGAGATCAATGTAGAGGGAGCCTCTCTCAGGGTATGTCTACACTACCACCCTAGTTCGAACTAGGGTGGTAATGTAGGCAACCGGAGTTGCAAATGAAGCCCGGGATTTGAATTTCCCGGGCTTCATTTGCATCTTGCCGGGCGCCGCCATTTTTAAATGTCCGCTAGTGCGGACTCCGTGCCACGCAGCTACACGCGGCACGGACTAGGCTTCCTAGTCCGAACTACCGTTACTCCTCATTTCACGGTAACGGTAGTTCGGAATAGGAGTAACGGTATTTTGGACTAGGAAGCCTAGTCCGAACTACCTAGTCCGTGCCGCATGTAGCCGCGCGGCACGGAGTCCGCACTAGCGGACATTTAAAAATGGCGACGCCCGGCAAGATGCAAATGAAGCCCGGGAAATTCAAATCCCGGGCTTCATTTGCAACTCCGGTTGCCTACATTACCACCCTAGTTCGAACTAGGGTGGTAGTGCAGACATACCCTCATACAGTTAGGCAGGGTAGTAGAAAAGCATTGCCTCACTAGGCAATTGTGTGAACAGCACAGTCACAAGGATGGGGAATGTTTTGGGAAAGACAATACTCATCTAGGAGTCTGAAAAAAAAAAGGAAATCTTTGTCTTGTTCAGAACTACAATAAAAGGGATTTTTGAAACTTCTAACCATAGTTAAGCTTGAAAGAAGCTACATTTGTGCAGAGATAAGCCTGGTCACAAATACAATGCACCAGATCTTTGTCTCTGTGAAGTCAATAGCCCCAGAAGCACAAAACAGGTATAATGATGGCTAAAGTGATCAGTTGAGGCAGCACATGGCGTAAGGGCATTCTGATGGTTCCTGGCTGCCAGGGAAGTCAAGTTACTCCTGACATCGCACTAAACTGCTTCTCAGGTCTAGTCCAGCATGCAGTGGCTGAAAAGTCAGAAAGCCATGAAGATGGCTAACAAACTCCATAATTACTTCAGCCATCCCAAGCTAAGTATGAGAATGTCCATGCCCTTCTTGCCCACTGTCCCTCCTCCACCCTGCCCACACCTCTGAATTCTGGGTAAGTCCAAATCTGTCTCTGAACTCTGTGGGAAGGGACATACATATATTTCCATGTTTATGCATTACCTCACAGTAGCCAGAATGGAAGCTTGATTTAAACAGGTTGGCATCTCTTTTCCACCCTATGCTCCTTTCTGTCTCATTTCTTATCCTCCTTGTCCAACTTCCCTCCATTGCCTCACTGTGCTTCTTCCTCTCTGCTTTCCCTCTTCTCTTGATTCTTTCTTTGATTCTTTTGTCTCAATTCCTTTCCTTAATCTTTCCCATCTGCAGCTCTCTGTGGCCCTTATTTCATCCTGATCTTCTCCCTCTTTTTAAAATTCCTCTTTAATTTACAAACTTAAATTATTTTAGAATCCGCCCAGCACTGTAGCATATGTAACAGTGGATTCCTTCTCTGAAATTTGTTGATATCTTCCTGCGGTTTGGGGTGGGAGCATTTGCTTAACAATCAAAAGACAGGGGGAAAAAAAATCAATATTTTTGAAATGTTTAGATTTATTTCTAGGCTAAGATCAAACAATCATATTGGAGCATGAAAGGATGTTTTAGCATAGTTAGTTGACTGAACACGGGATCATAATGAAGGTTGCAGCTGAACTTGGTATGATACTTTTCTCTTATTGACCTGTGTTTTGCTGTATTATTTAGAAATTGCTCACATGATATAATTTACAAGAAGCTCTTTCATCTTACCTGTCTGCTTGCATCCAATGTGCCTGACTGCAAGGCCCATGCTGACACGGTGTTAAATGCTTTCACTACCTTAGCGCCTGGCACCAGCTGAGCAAGGTATTCTGCATTGGATTCAGGGTACTGGTTTATTTTGAGGTTGTTGCTTACATCCACCAATACTTTTCCATGGAGAACGTCACTTAACTCTGTGAGAAAGTTGTAATGTTGTCGCTGAATTGCTACAATAATAATGTCAGCCTTGTGTGCAGCCTCTCCATGGCTCAGTACCTCTGCACCTTTGGGAATCAGGCTGGAAGTTTGTGCATTTCGGCTTCCAAACACTATTGAATAGCCACACTGGAGCATTTTATACCCCAGAGATCTTCCAAAATCTCCGGTTCCAAAAATACATACAGTCTCTTGTTTATTAGGAGAGTTTTCAGCAAGAGGGATCATGTTGGAAGAATTTTTCTCCATATCTAAAAAAAAGTAATAAGAAAAAAAAACAATACAGGAATATGTTAAAAATAGACAAAGCAGCTTGATGTTTTGATTATACCAAAATGCATATTAAAGTCCTCTTTGTTTCTTGGACCATTTAGCAGGCAAGTCTAACAATTAACATACATTGTCAGAGGACTTACTGTGCAGTTGTATAAAGAAAAGTAATGACAATGTCTCTCTATGGGCTCAGAGCACCTGACCTTGCCCACAGCTGATAGATGCAGACCCTGGATGCAAAAGAACTGTTTCAGTTCTGTTCTCTCAGGGTATGTCTACACTACAAAGTTACTTCGAACTAACAGACGTTAGTTCGAATTAACTTTGATAGGCGCTACACATACAAACCGCTAGTTCGAACTTAATTCGAACTAGCGGAGTGTTTAATTCGAACTAGGTAATCCTCATTCTACGAGGATTAAAGCCTAGTTCGAATTAAGTAGTTCGAATTAAGGGCTGTGTAGCCACTTAATTCGGACTAGTGGGAGGCTAGCCCTCCCCAGCTTTCCCTGGTGGCCACTCTGGGCACCACCAGGGAAACTCGTCTGCCCCCCTCCCGGCCCAGGAGCCCTTAAAGGGGCATGGGCTGGGTACGGTGCCCGTGCCAGGTGCAAGCCTGCCAGCACCCAACCAGCAGACCCTTCATCTTGCACG